AGGAGGAGGAGGAGGAGGAGGAGGAGGAGGAGCGAGGTAGGAGGAGGAGGAGGAGGAGGAGGAGGAGGAGGAGAAGAAGAAGAAGAAGAAGAAGAAGAAGAAGAAGAAGAAGAAGAAGAAGAAGAGAGCAAGAGAGAGATAGAAACATCAATGATGAGAAAGAATCATTGATTGGTTGCCTCCTGCACACCCCATACTGGGGATTGAGCCCACAACCCAGCATATGCCCTGACAGGGAATCGAACCATGACCTTCTGGTTCATAGGTTGACACTCAACCACTGAGCCACACTGGTTGGGCTATGACCACAATCTTTACAGACCTTCTGCTTTCCTTCTCTTAGAATATGTAGCAGTGAGCAAGATTTCTAAAAGGCACCTCCCATTTTAAAAAGCTAAAACTCAAGAGTAATAATTCCACAAACACCGTTCTTCCCCCACCCCCAAATATCAGCAACCATAAACAAAGAACCCAGTGTAGTGTATTAATGAGTAGCCAGTTGTGGAAAGCTGCTTTTTATTTGATATCATGCTCACCTTTCCTTCTGGCTGCCTCATCAAAATCAATGGGAAGCTGCTACTGAGCAAAGAGGAGGGCCTAGCAGAAGGCTTTTTCTTGACATTCTCTGTTTATAGAATATCATGACCCACGACTGTTTGTAAAGTGTACAAGAAACTTGACTTCAGGCAGTAAATCATATCTGTGTTCAATTCCGAAAAACAAAGCTTGGCTGAGGTCATGGTGGCACAGGTAATTGTGGTTTAAGTAAAAATCAGTATTATGAAACCTTTATAGAACTGATAAGTAAAGCAGTAGCACTAAAAGCCTTGAAATTTACTAATATTTAAGGAAGACTCCACCACTTGTTAGCGGTAATAGGTATTTGGAAATATAGAAGAGACAAGAGAAGGGAGGGGAAGGCACGTCAAGCAGAGGTGAAAGTGACAGTGTGGAGGAGAAACAATGCTGGTTATATTTAAGAAACAGCAAATTCTTCAAAACATCAGGATGAATGAAGAGAAGGTAGTGGGAGGTAAGGTTAAAAAGGTAGAGGGTTCTGACTGCCAGGCTAAAAGGATACGGTTTTATTTTTAGCAGGATAATAACATGAGCAATGCTGTGTTTTAGGAAGAATACCTGGTATTCTAGTTGTGATGGATATATGTATTGACAAGGGAGAGAATAAAAGCAGAGAGTACTTTGGAAACTATTAGAGGAGTTTGAAGAAGAGCTAATTGGTTCCTGGGAAGAGCAACTCAAGTGTCAGTGGCAATGGCAATGAAAAGGAGGAGTCCAATTTGAAAAATGCTGTGGAGAAGACACAACAGCCCATGGCAACTAATTACATGGGGCTAAGTGGAGGAAGGAGACAACTACATTAACCATGAGGGTTCTAGCTGGATAACTGGAAGGAAAGTGAATTAATAATAGAAAACTTATGGAGAAGTACAGATTTTGGAGGGCCATCATGAGTTCAGTTTGGGATTTGATAATGTGGAAAGTTGGAAACCTAAGGCTGGTGACGCTGAAAGACATAATTTCCATCCGTATAGCCTACTCAAATATTTAGCTCCTACAGATTACCACTCCTCACTTCCTATTCAATCATGAACCTATTCCAGTTTAACTTCCAGACCCCATCACTGCACTTTCAAGGTCACCAATAATCATCATGTTGCCGAATGCAATGATCACTTCTTTTCATTCGGATCCATCAGGCAGCACATGACCAATTGGCAATTCCCTGAGAAAGCTTCCTGGTTTTTTCTCCTGCTTCTTCCGTTTCTCAGTGAGCTTCTCCGCCTCTTCCAGACCACTGAATGCTGGAGCACTCCAAGTTTGGCGTTGGGCCCTCTTCTCTCCTGAACTTACATTTTTCTCACAAGGCAATTTCATCTTGCTAATTAGCCCTAAATACCATATATATGCTACTGACTTCCTGATTTATATTTTTGTCTTGATCTCGTTTGTGCTCCAGATTCATATGCAACTGTCTATTTGATAGCTCTACTCGAAAGTGGAGTAGGCTTCTCAAACAACATCTGCAAAACAGAGCCTGTTCTTCCTCCAGTCCCCTCATCTCAACTAATGGCATTTCTGAGTACCTCAAGCTTTGGTTTATCCCTCTCCCTCCTTCACATCTAAATCCTGCCAACTCTATTTCAAAACATATCCTGAATTCATCCAATTCTTTCCATCATCACTGTTATCAACATTGTATAAATATCCATTTTCTTATACCAAATTTAATCTTTGAGTTCAATCATCCATTCAACAAAAAATTATTACACCTTATACACTAGGAATAATGTGAAGAACAGTAGTAGGAATAATGCTGGGTTTGGGATGTACACATTCCATCTCCTCAAGGAAATTTAGTGTGAGAGAGAAGTAAAGCAACAATTTGAAATTGATGTAACAGGTTAATGCTCTGGTAATGACATGCTGAGGATTCTCTAGGAATAAAGAGAAAGGAGAAACTCATACACTTTGGTTTGATAGGAAAGGCTTCTTGGAGGAGCAAAAATTGCACTGAGTTTTTGCAGCAAAGTAAAACTGATGATGATGAGATGATAGGTAACATTTATTAAGAATATGACAGATATTTTATTCTTAACCATGTATATCATACTCTCAGTAACCAAATGAAAAAACATAGGTAAGCAGGAGTTTTAAGTCCTGGTTACTCTCCAAATCCTATATAATAAAAGGCTAATATGCAAATTGACCGAACAGCAGAATGACTGGTCATTATGATGTGCACTGACCATGCTCAAAGCAGGAGCTGCCCCCTGGTGGTCAGTGTGCTCCCACAGGGGAAGCGCCGCTCAGCCAGAAGCCAGGCTCACTGCTGGCGAGTACAGTGGCAGTGGCAGAAGCCTACCGTCGCAGCACTAAGGAGCAGCAAGCTGAGCGGTAAGGAACAGCAAGCATGTGGGCGGTAAGGAGTAAGGGGTCCCAGACTGCGAGAGGGCACAGGCTGGGCTGAGGGACTCCCCCACCCCCGAGTACATGAATTTCGTGTACCAGGCCTCTAGTCTATAATAATAAAAGCATAACATGCTAATTAGATTGGACATCCTTCCAGACGACCTTTCGGATGAAGCCGGGGCTGCGAGGGAAGCCCAGGTCCCAGGTGCCTGCCGGGTGCTGGAGGGAAGCCTGGGTCCAGGGTGCCTGCCAGCAGCCGGAGGGAAGCTGGTGCTGGCAGCCGGGGGAAGGAAGGCCTACACTTGCATGAATTTCGTGCATTGGGCCTCTAGTATTATTAGAAACAGTAATGACAATAATCTGTGTGAAACAGTCTTCAGGTTCATCTTTTCTATAAAGACATCCTTGACATCCAATTGGCAATCTCCCTTTATCTAATCTCATAAAACATTTAATTCTATCAATGTTATAACACCTCATGCACTTGTAATGCAGTTGTTTCCATACAGGTGTCATCTCTACAGTTACATTGCAGAACTCCTGAAGTGCACAGATCACATCTCATCTGCCCTGAT